ACTGTACACCCCAATACATGTGAAGTGATTCTAAATTAAATGCTGATTCAAAAGACGTGTTGTAAAATAATGCATTGTGTTAGGTCATTTCGGCATCACGTCAGAGAAGTTTCTCTTGCCGTCTTCTGTGCGTCCATGGCGTAAAATGAGGGCGGAGACTTGAATATTTAGGGGCGTGTTATTCTTATGACGATCGTTTTCAGCCGCGGGATTTATCAAGGGTAGGCATTGCGTACACCTGGATTTCAAAGGTACGCACAGCTTCGTAAATCAGGCGGTGAGAGGAGTGTATGCATAATCTTACGCCAACATATACACCCGTTTCTACGCAAGAATGATAATGAGGGCCATTGAGTGGTTTTACTATATTTAATAATAGGGTTAGAAATTGTGCTATAAGAATTACGGTCAGGGCTAAAGCATTCGGGAAAAAACTGTATCATATAAAATTGTCAGGTTTTTCTTCACGCTGGATTTTTGATTTTTTTCTTTTCTTTTATATGTATAATGCGACCTTTGGACTTTGATGTGACCTTTGACCCGTGATGATTCTCAGTCTTCGCTGTCATGGCGACGCCTCTTTGCTGTTCCCATCTGGAGAGATGATGAAGTCCAGCTTGAGTCTGCCGGACTCAATCCCACTGTCCTAATGGCTTTCCCATGTTCCCTCTTTTTCTTGAGTTACATTCCCAGTTTCCAGCTCTCAGACTCTCTGAATGTTTGATTTTACTTGATTTCCATTGGAGCAGAAAGAAGCGTGTGTTTCCATATGAATGGAAGGTGTTCCACTTGCTGGATATTTTATTTCTCTTTAATGAAATGTTGTGGTAAAAAGAGGAAAGGCATCTTTGTTGGATCTGATTTATGGATTGTTTGATGTTCTCTTATTTAGTGTGATGGCCACGGTTAAACAGGGTTCATTTCCACCAAATTGATCATTGATTTAGATAAATTTTCTCACAGACATTTTTCAGCGGAGGAACAAGTGGTGTATCTGGCCGTGCGACGAAAAGGCTTATTTGCTAATAAAATCTCTGCGAGGGGTTTAATCCACCGTTGAGCTGAAAACAGGGAAGCCTATCAGCTGCCCAAAACTATTCTGAGCCATGAACATTTAAACGGCTTACACGATTGATTGGTCATTTCTACATGGTGAATTTAACACACAAGTGATTCATCTGTGCTGTGTGATAGAGCGACATCTGATCCTTTGACCTCCCACACACACACACACACACATTCTCTCTCTCTCTCTCTGTGTCTCTCTCTCTGAGGAGTAATGGTGATGTGTGTATCTCTCAGGGGACGAGCGAGGCATTTCCAGCGGTGTGTCCCTGTCGTCTCCGAAAGCCTCCATTAGAGTCCTGCTCACACACACACACACACACACACACACATTCCCTCTCTCAGACCAACAAAGAGACATTTGATTTCCTCCCCATAAATCCCAGCTATCGATTTCTGCTTTTCATTAGCTGGAACCGACACTGACGCTTCCAGGTGGACTTGTTCTGACTTCATTGTCTCAATCAAACATCCGCTGAACTGGAGGAGTGACATTAACATTAACTCAAACACAGACACAGCGCTGAAACAAACGTGTGTGTGTGTGTGTGAGAGACACTTGACAATAATACCTCATTCTGATTCTGATTTACAGAAGCTTAAAGAAAGAGGGAAAAGGAGGAAAGTAAGAACACTTGAAGACGGGCAGAAACAGAAACATGAGGCTTCGGTCTCAGCGGTTCATCGTCTCCCAGCAGCCGAACACACACCTGGACAAGATGAGCTACTTTAAAAGCACTTGAGTGACATGAATACAGTCTTCATGTAGACAAGCACTTTTTATCAATGTAGATCAACTTTAAAAATGACCTAGAGAATAACCTTGTCTTCCTATCAGCAGAAAGTCGAAATGACAAATATATCATTTTCTTTTTCATTTCGATTGCTTTGTCTATAGGCTTTTTCACACTCATTCATCGATGATTTTATCATCAGAGACTTTTCAAGCAATAAATTCCATTTCCAGACTTGAAAGAGAAATGATTTGCAATGAAAAGTTCACACGTGTGTGTGTGTGTGTGTGTGTGTGTGTCATAACATGTTTTTAAGCATTCTTCAAGCCTTCTAAAGCCTTAAAAGATGAATACACAAATACATAATGAACTGTTGACAAACCAGGACAGCTAACGAGGATATGCAGATGTCTTTTAATAAGAGCTATTCAGACAGCATAATCCCACACTGTACAAACAGGACTCAATAACCTTCAGTGTGACTCGTAATATCCCAAAGATTGCAGAACTGACTGAACAGACTCTCATAACAGTGTTTCCATCGTTCCCTCTGCTGACAGGTGGCATATCTGACTGAGGTAAACAGGGGTCCTCAGAGAGGGTGACCCTGAGGATGCCCGACTGGATTACGCTTTCTGACTGAGGTAAACAGGGGTCCTGAGAGAAAGAGAAGATGACCCTGCAGATGCCTGACTGGATTACGCTCTCTGTAACTCCATTAGGGCTTCAGTCAGTCAGCTCCTCCTTCGGGGTCCTCGTGATCAGAACAGATGGCCTCGTTCTAGGAGCTCACGCTGTTCGCGATACGAGTCCGTCAGCGTATAATGGGACACACACTCAGAGGAATGTGCCATGAATCCGAAGGGCGTAACATTCTGTTTTTTGCAGGTTTTCTAAAATAAAAAAAGAATAAATCAAATGCAGCCAATTGTGGCTTAACTGACCTGCATCAGATCAATGTGATGACCTGAGAAAGGCCTCCTGGAGGTTTTCTAGGAAGGAGACAATGAACGAGAGAAATACATCTACAACAGTCCTCTGTGCAGTTGCAGCGTGGAGCTCTATGAGGCAGAACGTAATGTAAGAAAGTAGAACTTAAATCAATTAGAAAGATCAAGATACACTTAACAAACACACATACACCCTTTTCTGTGTTTCCATATCCAGGTCACACAGGATCCAGTTTGAGGAATTCGTCTTCAGTCGGTTCTGTCCAACTCCAGAGAAAATGTCCTATTATTGTAAGATATTTCCTCTTTTTGAAATATTCCTCCAGCTGTACGAGCTCTCGAACTGCAGCACAGAACATTCTGTGAGGATCTGGAATTATTCAAGCTCTCACAGGCCGTTCAGTCTGCGTTGGGAGTATTTCATATTTCATACGCACTATATCAGAAGGCAGGATTTTGTTGCCTTTCTAATGGCCTTTTTCTTCTTTGGTTTGCAAATGTGAAATTTTAAACCCAATTTTTTATTCAGTGTCAGGCAAAAACTGTGTGACGGCGCTTTCGTTGAAAAGCCCCTCGGCTCCCGCTGATATCATTCTCGTGAAGATAAGTGCTCGACAATTTACTCTCTTACCCAGGAGCGCCGGCCGTTCAGACTCAGGCAACTTTATTTAATTCCAACTATCACATTTTTGTTGAAAAGGGTGAAAACGTGTTCATTCAAACAAGCTGTATGTCGGATGAGTAGAACAGTGTGTGTTTAACAGGCGTTGCAGTGCAGGAGAGCAGAGAGAGAGCTTTACTATGTAGAAAAACAGGATGAGACACTGTCACTGGAGACACACACACACACACACACACACACACGCTTCTCACCTGAGAGGGCAGGCATTCTGTGTAGTGGCTGACAGCATCTTCAACACACACACACACACACACACACACAGCATCTGTCTGCTGGATCACTGATGCGTTTCCTGTCTGGCTGTCGTGTTGCGGGACAAAACGACACATCACAAACGACAGACAAAAACACAGAGCGATGGATGAAGAGGCAGATGGACTAAAATGACACTGTCTGTCTGTCTGTCTGCCCTTCATGCCATCACACACACACACATACAGTATACGGTTTATCACGGTTTATCTCTCTCTGTGTGTGTGTGTGTGTGTTTGACTATAGTAGTGTTTACAGTAATAACAGGAAAATAATGCAACAAAGTTTGTTTCTGCTGAAGAAAATAGTGTCACAGTCCAGCTTCAGTTAGTTCAGTGATGGTTTTGTAAAAAAAAGTTATTAATTTAGTTAATTTATACATATAGCCTCTCTGGAGAAAACCATGATGTCATCATCCAGCTCAGTTCAGTTCTCATATAATGGTGTCAGTGCAGGAGATCAACAATAATGTTGAATATTAAATGTCCCAAACTAAGCAAGACAAAAGCGAAAAAAGGCATGAAATGCGACAGTGAAGGAATCAGAACTCCATCAGTGACAGAATGGAGAAAAACCCTTGGGAGAAACCAGACTCTGTCGAACAGTTTCTGATTATGAATTGTTTTTGAGAATGTGGAAGACATTAAAGTTGCTTTTTCAGTTAAATTTGGGGGAACTACTTAAATACCAAACTCACCACTTGCTACATTTCTATATATATATATATATATATATATATATATATATATATATATCATAATCAGTTGTTAGCAAACATGTATTCATTACTTCAACGAGCTCACTGTTTCTGCCTTAAATGAATACATTGTAAGCCAACTGCATGATTTGTACATTTCTGAAATACATAACTTAGACTGTTACCTCTGGTAACAGATCACTCTAAATTATAATGTAGACTTGTGCATTCTGTAAAGCTGCTTTGAAACAACATGTATTGTGAAAAGTTCTTCTTCGTGTGGTTTGTAGTTAACATAAATCTTGTGTTGTAAGTAACAGCGACAGGTATCTGCCCTGCTTAGGGTTAAGTTCATATGTTATACAATGGTTTGAGATCTAGGGACATTTAAAAATACTTTTAATGGTTTGAATGATGTTTTATGTTAACTAGAAAATGGAATTTTATAAAGGAATGTACCATGAGGTAATTCTTGTGTATGTGATGTCATTTTTTAATGTGTGTATATATTTATGTATATATTTGTACATTTTTATTATATCAGTAAATTATTGATTAAAAAAAGAGAAAATTAAAGTGAGAGGTCTCTCTTTCTCTCTCTCCTCTCCACTACAGCTGACAGTGTGGAGAAAAAGCTGACCTTTGACCTGCGTGATCGTCCTCTCCCAGCTGTGTGTTGTGTTTTGGCTGCTGTCCATGTGCACTTTCAATCCCATCAAACAAAACTGTGCGTGTGTTTTACGCCAGGGATGCGTCATTGACTTCTGCTCACAGTAATTGATGTAAATGGACTCTTTATGTGCTGCCTGTAATGTTCTCATAATGACTTTCTATATGATTTGGCTGTTCTGCAATTTCAGATAATAACATTGAGATGTAGAAGATGGAGAAGGCGGAACGATGGGCTCTAAAGGCACCCAGCTGTCCATCGCTTCTAATCCCAAATCACCTGTCCAGCGACGGACCAATGGAGAGGCTAACAGATTTATAACCAGGTTTAGACCCTAACCCTAGACCTACAGGTGTTATAACCTCCTTATGTCTGAATCTTCACTTCTTGTCTTGTGCTGCACTTGAGTTGAGTTTATACTACCAGAGAGGCAGCTGAAGTAATGAAAGACAGTGATGGTGTAACGAAAAAGGGTGATGAAGTAACGAAAGAGGGTGATGAAGTAACAAAAGAGGGTGATGAAGTAACAAAAGAGGGTGATGAAGTAACAAAAGGGTCTTTTTTTTTTTTTTTTTTTTTTTGTAGTCTTGTTTTGTAATGTTGTTGTGTCTTATGTTGTCTGTGTTGTATATTACTTATGTTTTAGGACCCCCTTGAAAATGAGATGTTGCATCTCAAGGGGCTATCCTGTCAATAAATTCAAATTCAAAAGAGGGTATGAAGTAACAAAAAGGGTGATGAAATAATGATAGAGGGTGATGACGTAATATCTCGGATTACTATTGTAACCCTCGTCCCCTGAGTGGGGAACTCCCGCTGCATCGATACTCCATGCTTTGGGGAGTGCCTTCGGCTAGATGCGTCTGAAGTCTGTGATGGAAATACTCCAATCTTGAGAGCTATTCCGGATTTCATGGATGGAGAGCTCGATTGCATAAAGAGAGGCCTTAAAAACTGCTAGCTTATTGCTTATTTTTCAACCCTATTAGAAGAAAATATACATAATCCTAGGTATTTATTTGAAATAGTGGCTAAACTAATGAAAAAGAAAGCGTCAAGCCCAGAAGTGTTCAAGCAACACAGCAGTAATGACTTTATGAATTTCTTTACTTATAAGATTGATAATATCAGGGACAAAATTATAACTATGCATCTGTCTACTACAGTATCGCATCAGGGGGTGGATCCTCTGGAGATGTGAACGAGCCAGAACTTGGCTCGGCGTTTGTGGTTCGACTGCTCGAGGCTGTTTTCCAAAGATGGCTCCTGCCTGTTTGGAAGCCAGGAGGAGGCGACAGACTGACAAGCACCATTAACCCCCTCCTTCCCAACGAGTCGAACCTTCAACAAAACGGACAGCAGTCAGATCATACGTGATCAAGTGAGTGCAGCTCTGTGGCAGCTAGGGGAAGATTCTCTCATGGATGTCCGCAGGTACCTGAAATGTGATGGCATGGGCAGTGGAGAGACCCACGGCAGGACATGGAGGGCACTCATCAAGATGGCTGAATGTGTATTGGATGAGCTTGAGGAGAACCAAGACGGTGATGAAGTTAAACAGTTCTGTGCTGATTTATTAACATTCATTGAAAGACCAAGTAAAGAGTGTCATCAACCAGATGAAGTGAAGCCATCAGAGAAGCCAGCTCCAAAGGAAGAAGAAAAAAAAATATTTTGCACCACAAAGTTCTCATGTAAAGAAAACAGATTCCCCACTCAAGAGCCAACTAGAGCCAACTCGCCCATTGCCTGAGGTAACTATGCGAAGAGAGTTTAAAATCTGTGGTCAAACTGGAGAGGGTGGTCAGAGGGATAGGTTGTCGTATCTCAGTTTAGTTTGCCAGATTGAGCTTCGAATAGATAAAGGGCACACACAGACTGAGGTAGTCGAAGCTGCAATCAGGGCTGTCAGTCCAGGGCTGCCTTTGAGAGACATGCTGGAGATCAAGCATGGTCTGACCCTCAGTTCACTTTTCACCATCCTGAAAGGTCACTGTTGGGTAGATAGCTCCACTGAACTTTACCATCAGCTGCTAAACATCTCTCCGGAGCCCTAAGAAACTGTCCTGAACTTTGTAGTCCATGCAATTGAGCTGAAAGAGAAGCTGTTATGGAAAGCAGCGAATGAGGACACAGATTTAATTCAATTCAATTCAAATTTATTTGTATTGCGCTTTTCACAGTACATATTGTTTCAAAGCAGCTTTACAGAAAGAGCATTTCAGAAAAGTACATGGAAAAATACATTTAGTTATCATGTAATGTAATTTTTAACATAACTGCTTTTGAAGATGTAAATTCAGTCAATCTGTTGGAAGAGATTTGTTCCATAGTGTAAAATGGAAATGCATGGTCATTTTAATACCGTGTTTATTTGGGATTTGAAACAGTGTCATCAAAATGATTGAACCCAAGTTCTACCACTCGACCACAACTTTTCTCACGCCCAGAATTTCGGTTGTTCAGTAGTCAATGAGCGCATGCGAAAGAGAAGTGTTCTTCAGTCTTCTCATTCCTCAATAGCGTCATTGAAAGCACCGAATTTATTTTCACTGTCTGCGAGATAGGCCTATTTTAACTTTTGATTAATAAAATATTCTGCTATAAAAGTTGATATTATATTTAAAGCTATATTCTATTTAAAATGTAGGCCACTTTTACATAATTACGTTTTGCTTTCGCTAAATGCACCTTTGTGCAACCTGGTGGTCATTTCACGAACGACTTTGAAATACGGCTGGTTTGTTTTTTACCACGGCACTTGCAACGGCGGTAAGTGGCATTCTGGTTGTCCACCTACTGTATATAATATTATAATATTATATAAACAATATATATATAATATTACTAACAGAGTAATATTACTACATAAATCAATAAGGGAAATGACCTAGACCAACATATCTGAAAATTCTAAAGATTTTGCTGTAATAACTTAATATACAGTAAACTATAAAGCAAATGAAGTTGGTCAAGTCACCCTTATTTCGATAGTGCTTTATAGAATATACAGATCGTTTCAAAGCAGAAGCGTTGCAATACAACTACTAATTCCATTTCAGATTATTTAAAGGAAACTGCCTCTGTGTACCCCACAGCCTACATTTCCCAGCATCCCTAGCAGAGAGGTTAAAGAGTACTTCGTGCTGATTGGTCAGCAGCTCTTACAGGTGATTTGCACCTGTTTCTGAGTACATATGGTAATATGTGAAACAAAAGTCTGATAGTGAAAACAAATGGCTCATTAAACTCATTGTTTTGTCATTGTGCAGATGAAGAGCTAGTGGAGTTAAAGCTAACATTGTCGTTTCTCCACACTGAAATGGTGATGAATCATCAGAGCTGATATTTTCTTTCACAGAATATTCTCTAATAATATTTATGGCCAATGTCGTCTCAGCTGTTTTCTAATTTGGAAAATCTATTTTTCATTCTGTCTTCCTGCCTTCCAATTAGCTCTGAAACAGACCAACAGATTTCCCTCTTTGTCACAACACAAATGTGGCTTTTTGCAGAGTTTTGGGGACAAAAACACATATTTGATCATTTTATTTGGAATGACCAATACTGATTAAAACAACACAGCATCCAAATATATTTACAGAGAGCCTGTTATGTTTCACCTGAGAGTACACACATTGAAAATAGTCACAACCACATGAATATATCAATAAATAGACTAAAGATAGAGGGGACATCGCCTTCTCCAAACATGCAGACTGCCTATGATTGCTGACACAGAACAGTATTTGGCTGTTTGCTTAGAGACCTTTTTACTCAGTCCAGCAATTTGCAAACCCCTGACGCCCAATCTGTGCACATGTCCTAAACTACCAAAGATTAGGATGATCAATTTTGTTCTGTAACCACACACTGCTAAAGCGTTTGTTAATGACTAGTGTTTTAACATTTTCTCAGAAAAACACAAGTCCATATAAGCATCAAAACAACAACCCACTTCCAGAATCAGAATGTTTTTAGAAAGTTCATTGACAACTGGAATGTGTGTAGTATTAGGATTTTCTCTGAGGACACTTCATAGTTTATGTTTTCATTCATATTTGAGAACCCACTAGTTTGAACAGTCTTATTTGTATGTATTCCACTTTGTCCAAAAACTTAGCGCAGTTCTTGCTGTTGTGTTTACGATGCGATCGTGGCGTGCAATGTAACGGCCTTTGAACGCAGGGCACCCATTCATTATGTGCGCAATAGATTCCAGTGTTTTATCGCTGTGTAATAAGCAGAATGGTTTGTGCTGTTTTGGAAACCACAGGGAGAGGTTGTACTTTAGTCTGGAGAGTTTGCAGCTGAGCTTTAATAACACATTTTAGGACACCTCCGTCAACGGCTGAGTTTTGTAACGCAGAGTGTGAAACCATATGATGCGCTCACTGCGGGCATGCAAGCATACCTTGAAGGCGCAGGTTCACCCATTAATTGCGCTCGAGCTTGAAAATATTGGAGGATCTCGTACCTGCACGTCCAGTTGTTCAGCTTCTTAGGTTCCAGTGGGATGTATAGTCACCTCAACATGCACGTTTAGATCCATGATCTGCCCCTTGCCGATCTTCAATCAATCCGATTGCAGTTTGGCCAATCCGAACGTACTCCAAATTGATATCCAGCTTTCCGCTAGGTTTCGTTCGGAAGCCGAGGAAACCTGGTTCTCCATCTGCAGCAGAAGGGGACCTTGCGTTTACTCAGATCCAGCAGCAGAGAGCACCAGGCCACTTCTCGAACTGTCAGATTGTCATTATTCAACATGTGCAGTAAAAGTTTATTTTTTCTCTGGTAGCTGTATATATCTTGATGTGTGTGTGTTGAGACTTAACCAACTTATTGCCAGCGGCACGGTCTTATTGTTCAACTCCTTCAGAGGTTTTTTTTTAGCAGCGTGGACATTGGCAAACAGATGTTGGACCTTAGATAGAGCTATATCTCGAACTGCCTGGAACGTCATGCAGCTCGGTAGGGGACACTGGTCTATCATGTCCAGTCTGCTGGAGTATTATTCCTGCAACATTAAACACGTGTCCTAGATAACTGCATGAATCATGTCTTGAAGAGACATTGTGCTTCCAGCAATTGTGAATAATGGAGGCTGATCATACTTGGCTCTAAACCATCTATTGCCACTGCTGCGTCATTCATAGTACACCGCACATTTGTTGTTCTTGACTTCAAGTCCAGACCATTGCAGAAAGCGATTGTTGTGTGACAGCATGTTGTTAATGACGCTCTCCTCCCTTGATACTATGAGGACGTCATCGGCAAAGGCCTGAACTGGGTTTGGAGATGCAATGCCAGGCAGGGCGAGGAGGCATAACCAATTCAGCCAGTGGTTTAAGGCCACTATGAAAATCACAGCGTTTCAGGGACACCCCGTGTTAATCCCAACTTCAAGTTTAACCGGTTTCGTTGGTTGATGTCCGCAAATCACTTGTAGAAATGAATTGTCATATACATTCTTGAATTATATGTATATACTGTTCTGGCAGCTTTATTTTCTCAAGGGAATGAAGCATTACACTACGAGGTAAAGAACCAAAAGCATCTCGAAAGTCAAGGAACACCGCATAAAAACGGGAGAATTCATGTTTAAAATCATCGATGGCAGTCTTCAAACAAAATACGTGCTCATTCATTTCTTGCCTCTTTACGTCGCTTATCGCAATAGGGGGATCTGGGTAAGTGCTATAATTTAGAATGATATCTATTGCCTTACTCCTATGGTGTTCCCAAAGATAAGCTAGTTCATTTTTGCTTACCACAGTTGGCTCTCTCACACGGGGGAATTTCTGTAGGATTCTTACGGTTTACTTTAACAAGAGGATTCCCAGTGGTCTCCTATCTCTGTAAGATCCATTTCTGTGGTGTGCACAACATAAGGTGGTCATGAGTTTAGTCCAGCAACGTGGGTTGTCGTGGGTTAAATCATATTGTTTGTCTATCATTAATTAGTTTAACATCCAGGGTTTTTCTGAACTCTCTCTCTCCTGTGCCTGAATGCTCACTCATTCCTGGTCAGAAAGTGGGTAATGTTCAGTATTTACCCAGGTGGCGAACAGATGGTTACTTTCAGGACAAACATTTGTCGGGTCATGGCCATCCGAGGTTATGGATCTTACTGCTTCTTAAAGCAGCCTTGGTCGCGAACTTCAAGGTTGAAACCAATCACATTGTGAGTAGTCTTGATATTAACATAACTGGCTCTTTCTGATTTTTACACCGGCAGCTACGACGGGTGTAGATGTTAATTTTGATGATGCAGCATGCACGCGTTTGAACACACACATTGTGTTTTCGTGTTTAAAGGGGGCTTTCCATAAACAGCCATGATTTTTATACTGTACAAACTGTATATTCTGTCCCCTTACACTATGATTTATAAGCTGTTTTCTTCATGGTGACCCCAAAATGTGCCCGCAAGGACAAGGATTTTGGATATTGCCATCTTTGTGGGGACATTTTGTCCCCATTATGTTGGGTTTACCAGGGGACCACACACACACTTCTGAATTCAGGTCCCATTCTTTCCAACCTAAACTTATTTAACAGTAAGGCTCAGCCATTACAGGCCAATATCTCCTGTTACAGAGACACAAAAGTCGACCTTCTCTCCCTCCTCACCCTCTACCCTCTGGATTCACGCTTTGGCACCGAGATGAGGGAAAGAACTGCACAATGCAACTGTCGGATCGGTCTATTCTCTGCTTTAATTGGTTTGTCTCTCCTGAGAGTCAGCTCAGATCTGCAGGTTCTTCCGTGTGGACTCAGATGATAACCGGGAGCTCTACTGAGAGCCTGGTCAGCCAGAGAACTACAGCTCTCAAAAACTCACTAGCCATGTTTCCATCCACTTCAGGAATTTTTATCTCAAACAAATTTCTGGATGGAAATGCTAATGTGCATACACTCTAAAAATGCTGTGTAAAAACAGATTTATGTTTGATTGAGGGGGATCATTTGTTCATCCGATAAGAAGACATGCGCATAAGCAACGATGGAAACTGAATAAATCCCTGATGCGCAACACCAACTTTTCTTCAGCATTGGATAACTGGAGCGGATCCAGCGGACCAACGGCATCGCAGCATCTCAAATGTTGGTTT